GATAACCTATTTCCAGAAAGGCTGGCTGAGAGCCAGTTTATATTCTACAATAGTACCTCGAAGTTCCCAACTCTCCATCTTGTTGCAAACAATAAGCATGTATATCACCATTGCCAGTTTAATATCTCATTGGTGTTTCAATTGAATTGCCAGGGAAGATGAACATCTTGAAGAGATAATTTGTAAAAAGAGTTCCTTAAAAGATTACTGGTGTTGAAATTAGAACATTTATTTGTTCTAGGGACACAATGACATCTTAATCTATGACAAACAGCAATAATAATTCTGGGTAATAATTAAGAGTCTGGTGCCTCATTTTATTGATCAAGGTACAAACAAACAATAATTTGAAGAGTGTACAAAAGGTACAACTTTGCAAACATTCACTTATGGGAAAATGTTTTTTTTTTTTAACTTGTTTCAGATTGAGTTCAAGTCTTATTTCAAAAATGCTATTAGAAATATGTTAAAGAGAAACAGAAAAAACCCTCAAATGCAAGAAGTTATGCGATACAAGAGATGATCCATGACAGAGCCTCAATATGAATTTGATTATCCTAGCAGAACCCTTGGTTGTTCCAGGCAATAGGCCAAGAGAGAACTTCCTATAACGCCTACCACCATAGCCATTGCAAATATTCACAACTTAGCTTGAAAACTTCTATGCTAGGAGATAGCATCTACTTATTATTTAAATATTATTTTCTTCCATATTATAATTTTTTAAAGATGGCCAAATGAATTTAATGTGATAATTCCTTCTATGTGCACATGTCAAGAATGGACAAAAATAAGACATAGGCAAAAATGTTTTGTAGGACAGTATGATAAAGAATTTATCAAAAGGCATAAATGATGGCATAACTGCCACCAAAGAATGTAAGAATAAACAAGTAGAAATTTTGGGATGAGACATAAATAGTTAGAAACCCAAATTTAGCTATTTGGAGTTAAAAAGAGAGAGAGAGAAAAATATGGTAAATAAGCAATATTTGAAGAAATACCTGCAGATAATTTTCCATACTTGAAAACAAATGTGGCTCCTAGACCAAAAGTATGCTGAATAAGCAAGATAACTGTTGAACAGATTACAAAGAATTGGTAGAATATCAAAGATAAAGAGGCAACCTAAAAGCTTCCATGGAAAGAGGCAAGATTATCTACAAATAAAAAACAACTATACTGACAGCAAACTGCTTATAGGCAACAAAGAGAATTTAATGGTATAATATTTCAAAGTGCTAAGTGAAAATAATTGCTAACCTAGAATTTTATCTTGAGCCAAACTATTATTCAAGAGTACAGGACACTTTAGAGTTTATAACTAACAGACCCAAACTTAAAGAAACATTAAAGGAGGTACTTTTGTAAGAAGAAAAGTGAACCCACATGGAAATATACAGATATAAGAAACAATGGTGAGTATAAAACGTGATAAAAGTCAGTATATATTTCATTAACCATGACAATAAAAAAGAAAACTAAAACTTAGCAAACTAGGAGAAATACCTTAAAGAAGCCAGGAAGAGCATAAATTTATGAACTAAAGAACAAAGAACAGAAAGGATCAAAAGCTAAAAAAGTTGAGATTACTTTTAAAACAGAATACTATGAACATTATCCCATTAAATATAAAGTTTTCTCTGTCTCAAACAAACAATTTTAAAAACCAGGCTGGTAGGCCCTGGCCAGGTAGCTCAGTTGGATAGAAAGTTGTCCCGATACGCTAAAGTTGTGGGTTCAATCTCTGGCCAGGGCACATATAAGTAACCAGTAAATGCATAAATAAATAAATAGGACAACAAATTGATGTTTCTAATATAAAACCAACCAACCAACCAGGCCGGAAGTGAGATATCCAAATAGAAAGAGAAAAAAAGAAAAAGGAAAATTATGGTTATAAATATATATAAAATCCTTAAATATAAAATTAACACCTATAACTGAACTGTAAAAGTTAAGTGCATATTAACTATATCTTGAGAGCAAGCACAAAAATATTTCAAAGAAGTTTAGTTCAAACAGCAATTAGAAAGCTAAAATAAAATTCTAAAAAATATTTAGTCATTTTTTTTTTAAAGCAAGCAAAAATGAAGAAGAAAAAACAAACACGCACACAAACACCAGAGGAGGCAAATAGGAAATAATAAAGTGATACAAATCTAACCATACCGACATTAAATCTTTTGGGATAAATTCTCCAATTAAAATGTAGAGATGGTCAGAATGGATAAATAAGACCCAATTATATGCTATCTCAAAATAAGAAATTTACTCAAAATAAAGACACAGATGGGCTAAAGGTGAATGAGGTTAAAAGATATAACATGCACAAGAAGATGGGAATATCTATACTATGGTCGGATAAACCAGATTTAAAGAGAACATTACCAGGGGGGGTTTCATCAGATGCAATGGCCAAGTCATCAGGGTGACTTAACAATCGTTAAAGTTTCAAAATACATGAGTCAAAAATTTATAGAATCACAGGGAGAAATAGTTCTTGAAACTGTCTGATTTCAGCAACTGATAAAACTAGAACAAACAAAACATAAAAACAAACAAACAGGATTCAAATCCTGACAGTTTCTTCAATAAATGATGTTGGGAAAATTGGACAGATAAATGCAAAAAAGTGAAACTAGATCACCAACTTATACTATACACAAGAATAAACTCAAAGTGGATAAAAGACTCAAACATAGGTTGGGAAAACCATAAAAATCCTAGAAGAAACTATATGCAGCAAAATCTCAGACATCTCTTATAGCAATTTGTTTATGGATGTATCTCCTAGGGCAAAGGAAACAAAGGAGAAAATAAACAAATGAGGCCTACATCAAAATAAAAAGTTTCTGCACAGCAAAAGAAACTATCAACAAAATGTAAAGGGAACCCACTATATGGGAGAACATATTTGGAAATGATATATGTGATAAAGGTTTAATATCCAAAATATATAAGAAACTCATACAATTTAACAAAAGGAAGACAATCCAATAAAAAAATGGACCAAGGACCTAAATAGATATTTCTCCAAAGTGAACATACAGATGGTCAAGAGCCATATGAAAAATGCTCAAAGTCACTTATCAGATAGATGCAAATTAAAACGACAATGAGATATCATCTCACACCTGTAAGAATGGCTACCATCAACAAATCAAATGACAAGTGCTGGAGAGAATGTGGAGAAAAGGTAACCCTAGTGTACTGCTGGTGGGAATGCAGACTGGTGCAACCATTATGAAAAACAGTATGGAATTTCCTAAAAAGATTAAATATGGAACTGCCATTTGATCTAGTGATCCCATTTCTAGGATTATATCCTAAGAAACCCGGAACACCAATCAGAAAGAATGTATGCACCCCTATGTTCATAGCAGCACAACTTACAATAGCTAAGATCTGGAAATAGCCCATATGCCCATCAGTAAATGCATGGATAAAAACACTGTGGTACATTTATAGTATTTATACTATGCAGCACTAAAAAAGAAGACTCTTTGAGACAGCATGGAGGGACCTGGAGAGTATTGTGCTAAGTGAAATAAGCCAGTCAGAGAAACACAAGTCTCAGATGATCTCACTCATATGTGGAATCTAAGTAACAAAATAAACAGATGAATGGAGAGGATTCAGAGACATGAAAGCATGGAACAGAGTGAGAAATCTCAGAGGAAAAGTGGAGGAGGCTGGGTGAGTGGGAGGTAATCAACCAAAGATCTTGAATGTATATATGCATAACCCATGGACATAGACAATAGAGTGATGAAGGCCTGGGGAAGGGTTGGGGGCTGGTGGAAAGGGTCAATGGGGGAAGAAAGAGGACATATGTAACACTTTCAACAATAAAGATTTAAATAAATACAAACAAAACCTGGTAACTGATAATGTTCTCATGCTTTACTAACGAACAACTTAAAAATGTAATAGAAAAAGTCCCATTCTCAATGAAAAAAACAACAGTAAGGTATTCTAGTATAAACTAAAAGTTAAAAAGCAATTTTGAAAGATATTAAAGAATATCAGTATGTTTTATAATTAAAGAAAAAAAATACTGCTGAAACCGGTTTAGCTCCGTGGATAGTGTTGGCCTGCGGACTGGAAGGGCCCAGGTTTGATTCCGGTCAAAGGCATGTGGGATGTGTGCAAGAGGCAGCTGATCGATGTTTCTAACTCTCTCTCCCTCTCCCTTCCTCTCTGTGAAAAATCAATAAAATATATTAAAAAAAAGAAAAAAAATACCAAAAAATGAAGGGATATATCATGTTCATTTGAGTTTTGTGTGTGTGGTTGTTTTTTTTTAATACTCACTCAAGGATATTGTCCCATTGATTTTTAGAGATAGTGGAAGACAGAGAGAAATATCAATGTGAGAGAATCACATTGGTTGGTTGCCTCTTGCACATCCCTTTCTGGGAATTGAGCCTGCAACCTGGGCATGTGCCCTGGACTGGAATCAAACCCAGGACCCTTCAGTCTGCAGGCGGATGCTCTATCCACTGAGCTAGGGCTAGGGCAATTTTATTATACTACTAGAGGCCTGATGCATGAAATTCATGCAAGGGGATTGGCCCTTGCAGCCCTGGCTTCATCTGGAAAATCATTTGATTGTATGGTCTAATTAGCGTATTATGCTTTTATTATTATAGTTTAGGGCCTGAGGATTACACAATATAGAAAAAGATGAATGGTAATGCATTTTATTCTTATGTGGCTTAAATTTATTAAACACTATTTACAAAAAATATTTTTTATTGATTTCAGAGCAGAAGGGAGAGAAACAAAAACATCAATGTTGAGAGAGAATCATTGCTTGGCTGCTTCCGGCACGTCCCCCACTGGGGACTGAGCCAGCAACCCAGGCATGTGCCCCTGACTGGAATCGAACCTGGGACCCTTCAGTCCGCAGGCCGATGCTCTATCCAATGAGCCAAACCTGCCAGGGCTATTAAACACTATTGGGGTGCCTACTATATTCCAATACTCTGGTAAAATATAAAAGACATAAAAATTGTGTCTCTATTTTCAAAGAGCTCATAAGCTAGATGATGAGAAAAATTAACTTTCAAAAACCACTAAGCAGGTATTTATGGTCCAGGGATAGAGTCCTACCTTTCTGTATTATTTTATTTTCCTGTAGAAAAATATTTGAGTTACATTGTTTTGTTCCTGCCCATTCCATGTGATTCACTATAAATATTAGTATAACATATTTAATTATCTAGAGAGAAATGTGAACTATAAAAATTCTTACACAGAAATTTCTTTTTGGTAGGGAAAATGGAAGTGCATTTTAGTGACTTTCATGAAGTACTAGTACTGGTTAAAAACAAATTCTGCAGTAATTTTTAATTTATGTGAAATAAACTATTAAGCAATCCAATCTTTCAGCTATAAGAGCTTTATCCTTACACCTACCTGAATTTATATCTTGTTAAGAATACACTAGAGGCCTGGTGCATGAAATTCATACACTGTGTGCGCGTGTCCTCAGCCTGGCCTGCATCTCTCGCAGTCCAGGACCCCTCACTCCTTCCCACTACCGTGGAGGCAGGAGAGGCTCCCACCACTGCTGCTGTGCTTGCCAGCCGTGAGCCTGGCTTCTGGCTGAGTGCCGCTCCCTCTGTGGCAGCACACTGACCCTTAGGGGCAGCTCCTGCATTGAGTGTCTGCCCCCTAGTGGTCAGTACACATTACAGAGTTCAGTTGATTTGCATATTAATTAGGGTTTTATTACTGTATAAAGGATGTTTATACAGTAATAAAACATATTTAGCGAACATATCAGTTTTCATTTGTTTTACATCATTTACAAGTTATACATTTTTTCTATTCCCAAATTAAAATGCCAAGTGCTAGTTATAAAATTTGACGGCTGTGAAGTTACACAAAGAAAACCATAAATTAGCTTTAAAATTTTATTGAAATTCAGATTTAGAATTTAACAATTTAATACAATATTATATTGAATATTTTCTAACCAGTTTCTCACCTGCTTGTACATGATATCTGAACACAACGTTAAGAATTGATACTTTTTACCTAATTTTCCATAATATGCCAATTATACACTTATTAAAATCTCAGGTAGTTATCAGAATTTAAAAAAATAAACTCAAATATGGAAAATTTAAGACATTAATAATGCAGCAACTATAATATAGAAAAGAAAAAAATTTATCTTAACTGTTAAAATTGTTAACATTTATTGTAGTAATGCGATATGAACTTTTAACATAATCATATGAATTTTTCATTAAAATGTTCAACCATTTCCTACTGAAGCACGTTCAAAGTTATAAAAATCTTCTCTTTTAAAGTAACTTATACTGAATTAGTCCAAAAGTGGCACTTTAGAGAAGACATTTATTCCACTGCATATCTTAAGTACCCAAGGTGCTGCCTGGTCAATAGCAGGTTACTGAAAAAGTGTGAAGCATGGCTTTCTTTATGGAGTGAGTCGTTTGGGATCACGGGGGAACATTGAGGTCTGACGAATATTGTGCAATCCCAAAAACAGCATAGTCACTCGTTCCAAACCTAGGGAAAACAAAATAAACATTAGTTCCTTTTCTGAAAACCTCTCAGGTTCTTACATTTTGAAAATTACCAACATAATATCGCTGATCAACAAAATAATTTTTCTTGTTAGGAAGGAAAATGACTTCTATTTCAAGTTTATTTAAAATGGAATGTTTTAGGTCAGAAATAGAGATGATGCTTGTTGAGAAGGACAAAATGAGATATCCTGTGAAATGTGAACTACAAAAATCTATGTAAATGTCCAAAATTTATGCCTCAAACAAATCCCCCCCCTACCTATCATATAAGCCTGTATGGTTTCAAATAAGACCAGATTCTAATATAGTTCAAGTCATCAGTATAAGACAAAAGTCATAAACCTGTTCAAGGAAGTTTATTAATGGAAGTACCAGAAATTCGTTGTAGTTTGATAGACATGTAACATGGTAGTTCCTATTATAAAAGACTCTATAGTACATTATTGTACTAAATTCTTTGAGTGCAGAAGAGACTGACTTTGACTTAAATATTATACTACTGGTAAGAATTATGACCAAGTACCATCTACAAAACTAGCAAATGAAACATTTTATGTGCAATTTGATTTATCTATTTCACTAAAGCTGAAAGAAGACTAATATACCACATAAAGAAGGCAAGGTCAGAGAATAATCTTATATAACAACTTTTAATTTTAAAGGAATATACTTAATTCTAAAACAGAAATATAAATAAGAGAATTAACATTTTAATTCTTATTCCTTACCAAAAAACATCTGCAGACATATATTTGAACTTTATATTAAAGTAATTAACACTAATCATTTTTATAATTCAAATGTCCTTTCACAAGTAAAATTAAAATATACATTGCCAAATCAGTCACAAAAGTTTGTAATGTTATACTAACTGGACATTACTGAATACTCTAAGAGAAAATAGTCATAAATGTCTTATTGAGATTTAAACTATATATGTTCAATGTAGTGTTGTATGTAATAACAAATGGCTATTAACAACCTAATGTCCTAGGAAGCTGGCTAACAAGGTTATAGTGCATCCTTTCAATGGAGTCTAAGTAGTGATAAAGAACGAAAAAGCATTTGAGATATTGATAAAAAATTAATAAAAATATAGTAATTGAAAAATGCAAGGTACTGGATGATTTACATAGTATGCTACAATTCGTAAACAATTATTTTTATAAGTGTGTATATTTTTGCACATGCATAGATTACCTTTGCATAGGGAGTTGAATGCATACTCCTCCATACCCTTTTAATTTGAAATTATACACCAAAACCCCCAAACAACTAATAAAAATGGCACAAAACTATAAATTGAGAATTACTTTTTAAGTCTTTGATATGGATATTTAAAAGTTGAGTTAAACATTTACTCATTTTAAATCAGAGAGCAGCAGAGTATACACACTCTAGAAACAGTCCTGAAAGTCAATGAAATGTTACATTTCAACAAATCATTTAGCAGCAATCTGAACTAATTTGAGGGACAGCTTTAATTTGGGCTAATTTGAATGAACTCATGGATGGAAAATACAGGGCATTTCATTTATAAGACATTTTGCTTTCTAACTACTAAGATAAAAGAATGGCTAGAACTTTATTACAATACTAGAGGCCCAGTGCACAAAATTCATGCATAGGGGGAGGGCCCCTCAGTCCAGCCTGCACCCTCTCCAATCCTGATGATCAGCCTAATCTGGCAGTTGGACATCTCACAATCCGGAACCACTGGCTCCTAACTGCTCATCTGCCTGCCTGCCTGATCACCCGTAACTGCCCCCACCCTGTTGGCCTGGTCATCCCCAACTGCTCCCCCTTCCCCCGCCAGCCTAGTTGCCCCCAACTGCCCCCCTGCCGACCTGGTCGCCCATAACTGCCTCCCCCACAAGCCTGACTGTCCCCTACTGACCCACCCCCCATTGCTGGCCTGGTTGCCCCTAACTTTCCCCCCTCTGGTTTGGTCACCCTCTATTGCCCTTCCCTGCCAACCTGGTCACCCCCAACTGTCCCCCGCACCACCAGCCTGGTTGCCCCATGTAGCCTGCTGCTTGGTTGTTTGGTCACCCCACACAGCCTGCTGCTCAGTTGTTTGTTTGCCCCTTACTGACCCCCTCCCGGCCTAGTCGCTCCACACAGCCTGTTCATCATCTATTCGGTTGCAATGGTCACTTAGGCTTTTATATATATTTATACTAGAGGCTTGGTGCACAAAATTCATGCATGGGGGTGTGTGTCCTGCACCCTCTCCAATCTGGGACCCCTCTCACAATCCAGGACTGCTTGCTCCCAACTGCTTGCCTGCCTGCCTTTTTCATTGCCCCTAACTGCTTCTGCCTGCAAGCCTGATCACCATCTAACCACTCCCCTGCCAGCCTGATTGATGCCTAACAGCTCCCCTGCCAGCCTGTTTGCCCCTAACTTCCCTCCCCTGAAGACCTAGTCACCCCTAACTGCCATCCCCTACAGGCCTGGTTCCCCCCAACTGCTCTCCCCTGCAGGCCTGGTCCCCCCAACTGCCCTTCCCTGCAGGCCTAGTTGCCTTCAACTTCCCTCCTCTGCTGGCCTGGTCACCCCTAACTGCCCTCCCCTGCAGGCTTGATTGCCCCCAACTGCCCTCCCTTGCAGGCCTGGTCCCTCCCAACTGCCCTCTCCTGCTGGCCTGATCATCCACAACTGCCCTCCCTTGCAGGTCTGGTCCCTCCCAACTGCCCTCCCCTGCTGGCCATGTTGTGGCAGCCATCTTGTGTGTTGGGAGTGATGGTCAATTTGCACATCACTCTTTTATTAGATAGGATAGAGGCAAGGTGCATGGGTGGGGCCGGCTGGTTAGCCTTGAAGGGTGTCCCAGATCAGGGTGGGGTTCCCTTGGGGTGTGGGGCAGCCTGGGTGAGGGGCCTGTGGTGGTTTGCAGGCTGGCCATGCCCTCTGGCAACCCCAGCAGAGGCCCTGTATCTGGGATTTATTTATCTCCTATAATTGAAAGTTTGTAGACTTGAGCAGAAGTCTGGGCCAGCCAGGAAGCTTGGCTTCCTCCACTGCTGGGAAAACAGAAGCCTCCTGCTCTCTCTGTGGCTGCAGCCATCTTGGTTGGGTTAATTTGCATACCCGCTCCTGACTGGCTGGTGGGCATGGCTTGTGGCTGTAGTGGAGGTATGGTCAATTTGAATATTTCTCTCTCTCTCTCTTTTTTTTTTTAAATATGTTTTTATTGAATTTTTACAAAAAGGAAGGGAGAGGGATAGAGAGCTAGAAATGTCGATGAGAATCATCGACCAGCTGTCTCCTGCACACCCCCTACTGGGGATGTGCCGCAACCAAGGTACATGCCCTTGACCGGAATCGAACCTGGGACCTTTCAGTCCACAGGCCGACGCTCTATCCACTGAGCCAAACCGGTTTCAGCTGAATATTACTCTTTTATTAGATAGGATGTTTTAATATATTTTTATTGATTTTAGAGAGGAAGGGAGAGGGAGAGAGAGAGAGAGAGAAATATCAACGATGAGAGTCTGATTGGCTGCCTTTTGCAATCCCCACACTGGGGATTGAGCCTGCAACTTGGGCATGTGCCCTTGACCAGAATTGAACCGGGACCCTTCATTTTGCAGGCTGATGCTCTATCCACTGAGTCAAACCAGCCAGGGCTATTACAATATTTTAGAACCCATAAGTCAACTGTTCATTTTGTTCTTTGGAAATAAAATTTTTATTTAGTCATAATTCACTTTAAAAGTTCTTATAATTTGCCCAGCTGGCGTGGCTCAGAGGTCATGGTTCGATTCCCAGTCGGGGAACATGCCTAGGTTGCAGGCTCAGTCCCCATTAGGGATAGTGTCGGAGGCAGCCGATCAACAATTCCCTCTCATCACTGATGTTTCTATCTCTATCTCCATCTCCCTCCTCTGAAATTAATAAAAACATAGTTTTAAAAAATTCTTATAATTCAGATTTGTATTACACTTAGCACTTATGGACTTTCTTTTTTTTCTTTTCTTTTTTTTTTTTTTTAAATATATTTTATTGATTTTGTACAGAGAGGAAGGGAGAGAGATACAGAGTTAGAAACATCAATGAGAGAGAATCATCAATCAGCTGCCTCTTGCATACACCCTACTGGGGATATGCCTGCAACCAAGGTACATGCCCTTGACCGGAATCGAACCTGGGACCCTTCAGTCCCCAAGCCGACGCTCTATCCATTGAGCCAAACCGGTTTCGGGTGGACTTTCTTATATGCAATACAGAATACAAAATTTACTTGTTGTAGTCTAATGTTGAAGAAATTTAGTTAGAAATGAATGCATTGCCAACTGAAATCTGGGTTGGGAATATTGTCATAATATTAAAGTAATGTATTACCAATGCCTCCACCAGCATGAGGAGGGGCTCCAAAGCGAAAGGAATCAATGTATGCCTTAATTTTCTCCAAATCTACAAAAAAACAAAACAAACATAATTTACCATTGTATTTAGCTTTAAAAAGATAAAAAAGCAATTACTGTTAAATGAAGAGTTAACCAAATGACTGTTTCTGACAAGTCTTTAACATGTTTAAAATGAGTTATTTTCAGAATAGATATCACTTTCCTAAATACATTTAAATGGTTTACCTATTCCATGATGTAAGGCTCTCTCAGTTAGCAGCTGAGGATCATGTATTCTTTGAGCTCCTGACAGTATTTCTTCTCCTCTCATGAACATGTCATAAGAGTTGGACTGTTTCTGCAGGGAAAACAAACAAGCAAAAAACATTACTTATCAAAAGTGGCTACCAACAAGAACACCTAGCACACAAAACTATTCCATCAAATCAGGAAAACAACTAAAATGCAGACAAGAGGTATGATATAAAGCACATGTGTCAAACACAAGGCCCTCGGGCCAAATCCGTCCCGCCAGGCCTTGCAATGTGGCCCGCACCGCGCTGTCATCACTGCACTCCACTGCGTTTCCATCACAATGACAGTTTATGACTGTTCAGTAAACCATTCGGCCCGCGATTTAGGCTGGATTTTAGATTTTGGCCCCTTCTCTGATTGAGTTCGACACCCCTAATATAAAGGAAGGAGATGGAGGAAAAGAAAAGAATGGACATTGAGTTCAAAACTACAGTTATAAGGCTTTTCAAGAATATCCTAAAAAAGGCCGATAAAATAAATGAGACCTATGAGGATATGAAAAGGGATAAACTAGAAATAAAAAGGGATCAACTAGAAATAAAGAAAACATTGTCTGAAATAAAAAATATTATAGAGTCCTAAAAACAGACTTAAAGATCGCAAGAATCAAGACAAAGATTTAGAACACAAAGAGCCAGAGGACACTCTTCTGCAGAAGCAAGGAGATAGAGAATCCAGAAAGTTGAAGATAGTGTAAGAAACCTCTGGGACAATTTCAAGTGAACCAACATCAGAATTATGGGGATTCCAGAAGAAGAGAGAGAGCAAGATACCGAAAGAATACTGGAAGAAATAGTGACAGAAAACTTCCCCCACCTGGGGAAAGAAATAGACTTACAAGTCCAGGAAGCCTGCAGAACCCCAAACAAAAGGAATCCAAAGAGGACCATACCAAGACACATCATAATTAAAATCCCAAGAGCAAAAGACAAAGAGAGAATATTAAAAGCAGCAAGAGAAAAGCAGGTAGTTACCTATAAAGGAGCACCCATACGATTGTCAGCTGATTTCTCAACAGAAACCATGCAGGCCAGATGGGAATGGCAAGAAATATTCAAGAACCTACAGCAAAGCTATCACTCAGAATCGAAGGCCAGATAAAGAGCTTAACAAATAAAAAAAAAAAGCTAAAGGAGTTCATCACCCCAAACCAGAATTATATGAATTGCTGAAGGGGGTTATTTAGGAAGAGGAAGAAAATAAAGATAAAAATTATGAACAACAAATACATAACTATCAACAAGTGAAACTAAAAACCAAGAGAATTAAAAAATCTGATGAACAATATTAATTGTTGAATACAATAGAATCAGAGGTATGGAAGAGGAGTGGACTGACGATTCTCGGGGAAGGGGTGCGGGAAGAGACTGAACAAAAACTGTGCACCTATGGATGAGGACAAAGGGGGATGGGGAAAGGACAGAAGGTGGGGTGGGAACCTGGTGGAGGAGAGCAATTGGGGAGAGGGGGAGAGGAACACATTTGTAATAATCTGAACAATAAAGATTTATTAAAAAAAAAGTGGCTACCATTTTATTTCTATTACGCATGTGGAAAAAAAAACACCTTTGTTGCATGGAGAGCAAGTTCATTTTACTCTACAATTGATGATGTACCTGCTCCAATGAACATATTGTCTCTCTAACACAGGTTAAATTAGTGAGGTTTGAATAGTGACTTATTTTTTGCCTCTCAGATTTCATACTCCCCTTCTCCCACACCTTCCAACATCAAATCAGAGCACCATATCTAACTTATAAGAAGTGCTGATTCTCATTTTACTTTCTCAACAGAAATGTTTTTAAAGGGTCACTTCTGGAACTTCTAATTAGCAATTACATTTTTTTTATTTTAAGGTAAGCAAATTGAACATCAATTAACCATGCTTTTCCTATTCTCTATCAGGTTTTCACTTACTTTCCCTGTCTTTCAATAAACCAGTGGTTCTCAAAGTGTGATTCCAAGATTAGTAGCTTCAGCGTTACCAGGAACTTGTTAGAAAGGCAAATTTTCAAGCCCTACACCAAACCAACTAATCAGAAAGTCTGATGAGGAGGCTCAGAAATCTGTTTTAGAAAGCCCTCCAAGGGACTTTGGTGCACACTAAAGTTAGAAACCACTACAATGGAAAAATAGTAAAAGAACACATTATTTAGATTCGTTCAAGGTCAAAAATAAATTTTGCTAATGTCTGCAAATCTAGCAATACTATTTATTATTTATATAGTGTTTCTTTCTCAAATCTTCAAAAAATGACACACACAAATGATTTTTAAATAGGTTTTCAGAACAATTTGCTAGAATATTCAGATTTCACTTTGACCTCAACTGACAGAAACTATTCATAATCCACATGACATGACCATTGAAACGGTAAATTATGAATGAAAACCATTATTCTCATTTGCAATTTGACAAAGTAACAATCAAGTTTTCCCTCTTCCCCCAAACAGGTAATTTAAAATCAAATTACTTACAGGATTTCTTGGGTCAGGCATGGTATAGAAAGGTCTTACAGCCAATGGATATTTATCAAGAATATAAAAATCGGTATCATACTATAAAAAGAATAAATACAATTAAAATAGTTTTTAAAAGTTTAATGAAAGTGAAAAGAAGGCTAGCACTTAGGCAATTAATACTTATGTCTTTTCTAATACATATGTTTTATACTTCAAAATTACTGTATTTACACTGTAAATAAAATGAGTATTCTATTTCTTTCAAGTAATATCTGTAGCCTATAGTATTTTGCCATAATGTTGTATATTCTTCCAATACTTAATTTTCTTTTTTTAGGGTGTCATATAATCTCTCTCTAATTTCTCTCACACTGAAAATTATGCTGTGATAAACTTCTTTGATTTTCATTTTTTCCTTTGTTATTCTAGTTCATTTAGTTCTTCATATGTATTTTATAGCTGTTTATGTTAAGTTATACCAAATATATTTGGGTTTTACAAGAATAACAAAAATTTTAAATCTAAAAACTATTTTAGGAAAAATAAAACTTTATCTTCCCAACAATTAAAATTTCAGTCTAGACATCTAAATGAAATTTGGTAGTTTTCTTCAATGAAAACTATAATTGAAATCAATAACATTAACATAAAATTATGACATTTTTGTTAGAATATTTACTATGTGACCTAGATATAATTAAAAAGAAACCAATCACATTTCAACTGTTTTGACGTTAAACATTTTTGCTAAAACTGTACTGTAGAGGGAAGGTCAACAAAACTCTGCTGAAACAGCATTTTAAAGGTATAAATTCAATACTGTGTAGTTTCAGAAATATACTTTAGTTTCCCAGTCAGTTTAACAGTTTAGAGTGCAACCAGCAGGAGGCACTCAAGGACTATTTTCATTTCATCACACAACTTAATTTCTTTAAGCATCCTTCTAAGTTTAGCTTTTATCTTCTCTAAGAACTTCTGAAAATGAGATAGGAAAGTAGCTTTCATATAAGAGGCAGAAAGGAAATTCATTCTCCCTTATCTTGAGGTCCTTTCTAACTAATCTGACATAGATATCACTTTTAGAGATACCTCAGTACAACTAAGTACAAACATTGAATACTGAATTAATCAAACTGTTTGGGCAAAGTCTGTCTGAATATTTTTTATTTTTCTAAGATTGAAAAAAAAAGTGCCCCTGGGTTTTTACTTATTCTGGAATCATAATATTCTAGGAAAATCCATGATACATTTCAGATTTAGAGAAAGAAATCCAGCATGTACAAGAGTCCTACCTTTTCCTTTACCAAACGACCCAACAGTTTTTCATTCGGCGTACTAGAAAACAATGAAAATATGATTAATTCTTAGAGTTATTAAGGCACCACTTCTATTTGTTCTCAAAGAATAAAAAATTCAGCCAAAACCGTTGTTTATTCTGCTCCTTTTTAAAAAGTCAAGTACTACTGAAAACAACTTATAAGTGTACCTGGTATTTAGTAGGTGCTGCTCAATAATATTTAAATAAAACCATAAACATATTTTAGCGATTCACTGATTCAGAAATAACATGGATGATATATATATAATTTCCTACAATTACATATAACAAAAGTTCACTATATGA